GATGGGAACCTGGGAGGCAGTGACCATGAAATGGTCGAGTTCAGGATCCTAAAACAAGGAAGAAAGGAGAACAGCAGAATACAGACCCTGGACTTCAGAAAAGCAGACCTTGACTCCCACAGGGAACTGATGGGCAAGATCCCCTGAGAGAATAACATGAGGGGGAAAGGAGTCCAGGAGAGCTGGCTGTATTTTAAAGAATCCTTATTGAGGTTACAGGGACAAACCATCCCGATGTATAGAAAGAATAGTAAATATGGCAGGCGACCAGCTTGGCTTAACAGTGAAATCCCTGCTGCTCTTAAATACAAAAAAGAAGCTTCCAAGAAGTGGAAGATTGCACAAATGACCAGGGAGGAGTATAAAAATATTGCTCAGGCTTGCAGGAGTGAAATCAGGAAGGCCAAATCACACCTGGAGTTGCAGCTAGCAAGAGACGTTAAGAGTAACAAGAAGGGTTTCTTCAGGTATGTTAGCAACAAGAAGAAAGTCAAGGAAAGTGTGGGCCCCTTACTGAATGCGGGAGGCAACCTAGTGACAGAGGATGTGGAAAAAGCTAATGTACTCAATGCTTTTTTTGCCTCTGTCTTCACAAACAAGGTCAGCTCCCAGACTACTGCACTGGGCAGCACAGCATTGGGAGGAGGTGACCAGCCCTCTGTGGAGAAAGAAGTGGTTCGGGACTATTTAGAAAAGCTGGACGAGCACAAGTCCATGGGGCCGGATGCGTTGCATCCAAGAGTGCTAAAGGAGTTGGCGGATGTGATTGCAGTGCCATTGGCCATTATCTTTGAAAACTCATGGCGATCGGGGGAAGTCCCGGATGACTGGAAAAAGGCTAATGTAGTGCCAATCTTTAAAAAAGGGAAGAAGGAGGATCCTGGGAACTACAGGACAGTCAGCCTCACCTCAGTCCCTGGAAAAATCATGGAGCACGTCCTCAAGGAATCAATTCTGAAGCACTTAGATGAGAGGAAAGTGATCAGGAACAGTCAGCATGGATTCACCAAGGGCAAGTCATGCCTGACTAATCTAATTGCCTTCTATGACGAGATAACTGGCTCTGTGGATGAAGGGAAAGCAGTGGACGTGTTGTTCCTTGACTTTAGCAAAGCTTTTGACACGGTCTCCCACAGTATTCTTGCCAGAAAGTTAAAGAAGTATGGGCTGGATGAATGCACTATAAGGTGGATAGAAAGCTGGCTAGATTGTCAGGCTCAATGGGTAGTGATCAATGGCTCCATGTCTAGTTGGCAGCCGGTATCAAGTGGAGTGCCCCAGGGGTCGGTCCTGGGGCCGGTTTTGTTCAATATCTTCATAAATGATCTGGAGGATGGTGTGGATTGCACCCTCAGCAAGTTTGCAGATGACACTAAACTGGAGGAGTGGTAGATACGCTGGAGGGCAGGGATAGGATACAGAGTGACCTAGACAAATTGGAGGACTGGGCCAAAAGATATCTGATGAGGTTCAACAAGGACAAGTGCAGAGTCCTGCACTTAGGACGGAAGAATCCAATGCACCACTACAGACTAGGGACTGAATGGCTTGGCAGCAGTTCTGCAGAAAAAGACCTAGGGGTTACAGTGGACGAGAAGTTGGATATGAGTCAACAGTGTGCCCTTGTTGCCAATAAGGCCAATGGCATTTTGGGCTGTATAAGTAGGGGCATTGCCAGAAGATCGAGGGACGTGATCATTCCCCTCTATTCGACATTGGTGAGGCCTCATCTGGAGTACTGTGTCCAGTTTTGGGCCCCACACTACAAGAAGGATGTGGAAACATTGGAAAGAGTCCAGCGGAGGGCAACAAAAATTATTAGGGGACTGGAACACATGACTTATGAGGAGAGGCTGAGGGAACTGGGGATGTTTAGTCTTCAGAAGAGAAGAATGAGGGGGATTTGATAGCTGCTTTCAACTACCTGAAAGGGGGTTCCAAAGAGGATGGCTCTAGACTGTTCTCAGTGGTAGCAGATGACAGAACAAGGAGTAATGGTCTCAAGTTGCCGTGGGGGAGATTTAGGTTGGATATTAGGAAAAACTTTTTCACTATGAGGGTGGTGAAACACTGGAATGTGTTTCCTAGGGAGGTGGTGGAATCTCCTTCCCTAGAAGTTTTTAAGGTCAGGCTTGACAAAGCCCTGGCTGGGATGATTTAGTCAGGGATCGGTCCTGCTTTGAGCAGGGGGTTGGACTAGATGACCTCCTGAGGTCCCTTCCAACCCTGATATTCTATGATTCTATGAAAGTGAGGGGCCACTACAGTCATGTTATGGACATATGCAATATCTCTCAAAAAAACAATAGTTATGAGCAGGTAACTATTTCTTCGTCAAGTGATTGCATAAATCCACTATATTAGGTGACTCCCAAGGTGTTATTGATGGCAGTGGGGTTAGGAGTCTCATTGGAAGAGGAACTTCAGGACCACTTTCCTCATATTCATGTCTTTCCCTGATGGAGTAGTAATTGCATAATACCTAGCAAATATGCAGACTGAAGACCATAATGCCACTGTACAGCTGTACACAATAGGGATGTTTCTCATAAATGCTGTGGAGGCTGAGTGTGCTCTGGTTGAATGCACAGACAGTTTCTCTGGAGGAGTGATGACTTTTGACCCTGTAGCATATGGCAATGCAGCTGGTGATCCATTTGGAAAGCTGTTGCACTGTTACAGGAAGCCTGCTTATTTGTTCTGCATAGGAGATAAACAGTTGGGAAGAGCCCTAAAAGGACTTTGTTCTATCTAGGTAAAAGGCCCCGGCTCAATGAACATCCAAAATATGGAGCTTTTGTTCACCTTTGTGAGCATGTGGCTTTGGAAAGAGGACCAGTAAATATATTGACTGATTGAGGTGGAAATCAGATACCATTTTGGAGAGTAACCTAGGGTCTGGCCTAAGCTTCACCTTGTCCTTGTAAAACACTGTGTACCAGAGTATGGAGCTCCTCCAACTCTCTTTGTGGAGTAGAAGATACACTGTGGCTAGCTGCCCAGATCAAGAAACACTTCCACTTACTAAGATAAGCAGCCTTTGAGGATTGTTTCCTACCATTATGAAGGACATTCTGGACTGCTGCTGAACAGTATGCCTCCTCTCTGCTTAGCCACTGAGGAACCAGATCAGGAAATGCAGTGACTGAGGGTTGGGGTGCAACACCCACTAATGAGTCTCTGATAGGAAGTCCTTGAGTAAAGGCAGGGGTAAAAGTTCCCAAATGGATAACTTGTGTTGGTCTGAGTACCAGGCTGGCTTGAAAATGACCTTGTGGATCAGTGGCACTGGAGAGTTTGCACAGGGAGGAGGAATGAGTCCAAAATGGACCAGGCTGTGTAGTCCACTCTTAAACAGAACTGGAAACATTTCCTGTTCTGGTGGATTGCAAATAAGTACACTCTTGGGATTTGCCCTATTTGAAACACTGATTTGAGAAAATGTTGAGAGACGTGATCCAAGCTGCAATGACCTGGTCAAGCAGTCTACTAAGCCAATCTGCACCCCCAGTAGGGGATGCTATGAGTCAGAGCATTTCATATGTAGATGTTCCAAAGCCTGGCCACCTCCTGGCTCAGACTGTCTGATGTGGAACATCCCTGCTTGTTGACATAGAACAGTGCTGTGGTGTTGTCAGTAAATATTTGGATTGTCCTGCCCCTATATGTATGTGTGGCAGGACATGTGCCCGCAACTCTACAATGTTGCTGTGCATCCCGACCTTGTGAATGGACCACAAGCCCTGAGCTTTCAGCCTCCTAGATAAGCTCCCTGCCCTATATCTCAAGCATCCATTACCAAAGTCAAAGAGAGGACAGTCAGGGAGAAGGGGACTGTCTTGCCAATGTTGTCTTGATTCATCCACCAACCCAGCAACAATAGGATCTTGTCTGAAATATACACACGTCTGTCCTTAGGATGGTACATTGACCTAAGCCATGCCTGTAAAACTCAACAATACAGTCTCGTATGGGGGAAATCACATAAGTGTGTGCAGCCATATGCCCCAGGAGCCTGAGGCAGTTTCTCACTGCAGTTTGGGATTGACCTTTAAAAGACATACAGAGGTCTCATATACGTAGAAATCCTGTGGCTAGGATTGCGACCGGGACTGTCCCAATTAATTCTATTCCCTGTAGGGGTGTGAAGATCAATTTGTCTTTGCTCACTTCCAGGCCTAACCTCAATAAAGCAGATGGAGCATCCCATGGATACTTCTTTCCAGTTGCTTACAGGAGTTATCCTGCACCAACCAATCATTCAAGTAAGAGTACATCTGAACATCCTAATGATGGAGGTAGGCTTCTACCATAACCACACACTTGCTGAAAACCCTTGCAACAGATGATAGGCTGAAGGGCAGGACTGTGAACTGGAAGTGGTCTCCTCCTATTACAACCCTTAAAAATTACAACACTTCTGTGGCTAGGGTGGATCACCATATGGATATAAGCATCCGTCAACTCAAAGGCCGCATACCAATCTTCCAGATCTAATGAAGGGATAATAGTTGCAAAGGAATCCATACAGAACCATAGCTTCTTCATGAATTTGTTCAAGTTCTGGTCTAGAATGGTCTTCAGATCTTCTTTTGCTTTGGGTTTTAGGAAGTAGTGGGAATAGAACAGCCTGCTTTGATACTGAGGTGGCACTTCTTCTGTAGCTCCCCAAAAATGAAGAGACTGCATTTATTGTCTTAGTGCAGATTCATAAGATGGGTCTCTGAAAAGGAGTAATGAGGGAAGTTAGGAATGGGGAAGTCAGGTGCCACATCTACACTGCAGCTGGCAGCGCCTCTCATGCTAGTGCGCTAAAAATAGTAGTGTAGCCAGGGTAGCACAGGCATATTAGCCACCTGAATACGTGTCGAGAGGGTCTGGGTAGGTACGTACTCAGGCAGCTAGACTGAGCTACGGTCTGTATAACCACAGCTACCCTGCTATACTTAGCGTGCTGGCTTGAACACAACTAGCATGTATCTGTTGACTTGTGCTCAGAATCACACTCCCAGCTGCCATGTAGACATAGCCAGGAACTGCAGGATGTATTCCAATTCCACCATGCTCATAACACACTTGTTTGAGGTGATGGACATGCTCAGGAACTGTGACAACTTGCTCCTGTGTGGGGAGGGAGGAAATTTTTGGTGAGATCCAGTGTGGTTGGTATGCTATCCTTGATTCAGGAGTCAAACAGGATGCTTTGAGGCCTAGGGCTGTTCGTATGAAGCAACAACTGAGGCAGATGATGGGGCTCTCCTTTACTACTTGTGTTTTTGCCTTGGTTCAGGAAGCTGAAAACAATTATGAGACAAATCAGCTGTGAGGAAGTATTTAATCAGAAAATGTGAATGATGATTGGCAATCATTTAAGAACACCTTACTAGATGCCCAATAAGCCATAAAAAGCCATATCAAAAATGAGGAAGATGGCCATATTGGCTAAAAACTTGCCAGGGTTTAGAGCGGAAGTGAAGGAAGCAAGCTATAAAAAATAAATAAATAAAATAGAAGAAAAGGGCAATTGATAGTAATGAATATAAATCAGAAGTTAGGAATTATTGAAAAGGAAAACAACGGGACACAAGGAGAAATCTATGGCGGCACTGTTAAAGACAATAAGAAGGAGTTTTTTAAATATATAAGGAACAAAAATAATCCTGACAATAGTATTGGTCCATTATTAGATAAAAATAGATAGGTAGAATTCTCAATAATAACGCAGAAAAGACAGAAGTGTTCAATAAATATTTCTGTTCTGTATTTAGACAAAAAACAGATAATATAGTCTCGTTATCTGGTGATAACATTCTTTCCATTCCACTCAGGAAGATATCAAACAGAAACTACTAAAGTCAGGCATTTTTTAAATCAGCAGGTCCACATAATTTGCATCCAAGAGTTTTAAAAGAGTGGGCTACACTGCTTGCTGGACTGTTAATGTTGATTTTAAATACATCTTGGAACACTGGAGAAATGACAGAAGACTTGAAGAAAGCTAATGTTGTGCCAATATTTAAATAGGGAAAATGGGATAAATCTAGGTAATTATAGGCTTGTCAGCCTGATATTGATCCTGGGCAAGATGACAGCAGCTGACACGGGACACGATTAATACAGAATTAAAGGAGGGTAATGTAATTAATGTCAATCAACATGGGAAAATAGATCTGGTCAAATTAGCCCAATATCTTTTTTTTATGAGATTACAAGTTTGGTTGATAAAGGTAATAGTGTTGACATAGTATATTTCAACTTCTGTAAGGCATTTGACACGGTACCACACAATATTTTGATTAAAAAACTAGAATGATATAAAATTAACATGGTACACATAAAATTAATTAAAATCTGTCTGATAGGTCTCAAAATGTAGTTGTAAATGAGAATTATCGACTGGGTGTGTTTCTGGTGGGATCCCATGGGGATCGGTTCTTGACCCTATTCTATTTAACATCTTTATCAATAACCTAGAAGAAAACATTAAATCACCACTGATAAAGTTTAGAGATGACACAAAAACTGGAGCAATGACAAATAAAGAAGAGCACAGGTCACTCATTCAAAGCAATCTGGATCACTTGGTAAACATTCAAAAACCAGTTGGAGAACACTTCATTCTCTTTGGTCACTCAATTACAGACCTAAACATGGCAATTCTTCAACAAAAAAACTTCAGAAACAGACTTCAATGAGAGACTGCTGAATTGGAATTAATTTGCAAACTGGATACAATTAACTTAGGCTTGAATAGAGACTGGGAGTGGATGGGTCATTATACAAAGTAAAACTGCTTCCCCATGTTTATTCCCCCCCCTCCACTCCCCACTGTTCCTCAGACGTTCTTGTCAACTGCTGGAAATGGCCCACCTTGATTATCACTACAAATGGTTCCCCCCCCACCCCCGCTCTCCTGCTGGTAGTAGCTCACCTTAAGTGATCACTCTCGTTACAGTGTGTATGGTAACACCCATTGTTTCATGTTCTCTGTGTATATAAATCTCCCCACTGTATTTTCCACTGAATGCATCCGATGAAGTGAGCTGTAGCTCACAAAAGCTTATGCTCAAATAAATTTGTTAGTCTCTAAGGTGCCACAAGTACTCCTTTTCTTTCTTTTTCTTCTACTGGGTGCAAGCAAACAATATGCGTTTCAATATGGCTAAATGTAAATGTATACAACTAGAAAGAAAGAATATATGCCTTACTAACAGGATTGGGTACTCTATCTTGGGAAGCAGTGACTCTGAAAAAAAATGTGGGGGTTGTGGTGGATAATCAGCTGAACATGAGCGCCCAGTATGACGCTGTGGCCAAAGGCGATAATGTGATCCAGGAATGCATAAACAGAAGAATCTCGAGGAGGAATAGAAAGGAATACTTCTATATTTGGCAATGGTGCAACCTCTGCTAGAATACTATGTCCAGTTCTGGTGTCAACAGTTCAAGAAGGTTGTTGATAAATCAGAGAAGGTTCAGAGAAGTCCCATGAGAATGATTAAAGGATTTGAAAACATGCCTTATACTGACAGTGCTCTTTAAGTCTATCTAGTTAGCTTAACAAAGAGAAGGTTAAAGGGTGACTTGATTACATTCTGTAAGTATCGACATGGAGAACAAATATTTAATAAAGGGCTCTTCAATCTAGCAGAGAAAGGTATAACTTGATCCAATGGCTGGAAATTGAAGCTAGACAAATTCAGACTGGAAATAAGGTGTCAATTCTTAATTATGAGAGTAATTAACCAGTGGAACAATTTACCAATGATTGTGGTGGATTCTCCAACACTGACAATTTTTAGATCAAGTTTGGATGCTTTTCCAAAAGATATGATCTTGGAATTATTTTGGGAAAGTTCTATGGCCTGTTATAAAGCAGCTCAGACTAGATGATCACAATGGTCCCTGTGGCCATGGAATCTATGAATCTGTCTAGGCCAGTGGTTCCCAAATTGGGGTTCGTGAACCCCTGGGGGTTCACGAAATGTTACAGGGCATTCACCAAACGTTACAGGGGGTTCTCAGGGAAAAAATTCCCTAATGGCAGACAGAGCTGTCCATAAGGACCCTGGGCAGCATGGGGCCAGCAGCCTGGAGATTTGGGGACTTCCAAGAGCTAAGCAGATCAAAGCAAGCATATCTATCACACTGAGGAGATTTAAACTTCAAGACTCCTTATACAAAATAGAAAGGGAGGTGAATATTTTTTGCTGTTTTAAAATTAAATAGTCTGCTAGTGTTGTTTTTAAATTATTATGAAGAACAAGTTTAAGCTTTGTTGTAATGTGCATTGTTTGCCTGGACCACTCAAGACCTGAATGCTTATGTAGGAGGAACTCTTTGAGTTGGCTTCTTAAATACCTTCATGCTGTTTCACATCTGATACTCCTTGATGAAACATAGGAGTCAGAGGCTCCGGTACAGGAGGGCGACGAGGGTCACGTGTCACCCCCATGTCGGCGCCCTCCAGCGTGGGTCCTTCCCCTTTTTTTCCAGCAGCCCCCACGGACCCCCCACACTTTTCCGGTGGTGCCCCCCCCCAGATCCCACACCCTTTTTTTCTACTGGAGCCTCTGATAGGAGCCTTGTCTTATAACAGACTTAATCAAAAGCAATACAAGCTACAAAAGTGAGATCTTGGAAGAGTGCTGCCATTTTCATAATGCCCTACATAACTAAGATTTTTCTAGTGTCTGACATTTCCTTCAGAGCCCCTTTTCCAAGGAACTCCAGCACGTTGAGGGGTGAAATTGATGGGTGTGATTCTTGCTTTGTGTAGATTGGGTGAATTACTGTAGAAAGTTGAAGTTTGTTTTATATGTTTATTTTTCATGATAAACATAAGTTACTGCTTTGACTGAGGACAGTATTTTGGTACAACATTAGTCACTGTGGACTTTACATCAGTCCTTAGAAAAAGACTCTCTATTATGGATGTGTTTCCTAATGCAGAACAGCAACTTTGATCATGTTGACATTGATGAGTCATAGCTATTTGCTTTTCTTTGATCACACTCACACTGAATACTTCTGAAAACTATGGAACAGCATGACTTATGATTACATTACTGTAATGCAGCTTCTTACTAGAATCTTTCATCTTCCCTTTATTTAGTTAATACTATTTTCTATGACAATACTTCTAAGGTAAACTTTGAGTAAGCATACGCATTGTAGAGCACTTTGAAATCTCAGCTCTTGAACAAGAAGCTTTGCTGTCAGGGCAAAAATTCTAGAAAGAGCACATGAAGAATGCAACTGATATGCATAACACCTATTCTCTGAAAGCTGCCAAGGGCAGGATTAAACCTCAAAATACAGTGGTTGTGCTTGAGTTCTGGCTTACAGCAGAACCCTAGTTCTGTTGCCCATGCACACTTCACTTTCTTTGGCATATCACTTTCATTTGACCTATACTATAGTTTCAAACTTTATCCTGAAGAACTTTTGAAATATTGTGTCTCCAAAGAGCCTGTGGTTGCACACCACTAGCTGAGGTTAAGTACAAGTGGACGATATTAGTTTTGGAAGTATTAGAGTTATATAGTTTAATCCCCATTGCGCACAAAAACTTAAAAATAAAATGTAACATTTTCATATCATTGGACTTTTAGTGGGAGCTGCAGCTTGAGTACCCAACTGAACCCAAATTTGAACCAGTAGCCCTGCCCCAAAACCCCCTCGGCAAACAGCGATTTTCAAGACCATCCATTAAGCATGTGGATTGTAGAGCATTGGAAAAAAACAGCTGTTAAACAGTAAGCAAGTCCCAACCTTAACTACCATTCAGCTATAATGAATTCATGAATGGGCATTGCCCCTGTTCCCTGCCATGGATAAATATATCTCTAGATGGTTTAAAGCTACTATAGTACCTTTTCACTAACTCTAGGAAACCTCTTCCTTTTGACTCCACATTTCCTTCATTTCTAATGGGGCTGATTTGCTGTTGCAGTTGCATTTTATCTTCTTTCTGGGTGGTTTCTGTACTTTGTTCGATGTTGTATTCCACAGGTTCCCCTTCAACAAATAAGAGCAAGAAGAGACAGTTTGATTAGAGGAGCAGAGAAGTTACTTTGTTACCTTTCATGCTATGGTCATACCAAAATTGTTTTTAAAAGAAAAGCTGAACCAATTTAATCACTGCCACCTTCAAATAATCAATGTGACCAGTTCAAACACCGCAAACATGCTGATAATTTCATACTTACATACACTCATATGGCCATAGTCCTTCCTAAGGGCTGCAGGATCCTGATATTTCTGCTGAATATCTTCTGACTGATTGGAGGGGTGGGGGAGGTAGTAAGGGGAGAAATCAACATTGTTAAATTTGCTAAATTGTTTTTTACACTTAAAAAAAAGAAAGTGAAAAAATCTATTCTCTTTTATGATTTTTTTATTGTTGCTACCAGCCTGCATTTTTACAATAGATGTTTTTGGAATTTCTGTTGTGCACCGTGGTTGTATCTATCATTTTACAGAATCTGTCATTTCAATCCTTAAAACACATAAATTTGAATGATTAAAATGCTCATATAAGCTAAATTTTCATTGCATAGTATGTTGATGTATTGGTGGATTAGGGGAGACAGAAAGAATACTGGTGCAGTGTGGAAGAGCAAAAAGGGAACACTGGTGAACAGCACGTGCAGGGAGGAATGGAGGTATTTGTGTGGTAGGGTAACTGAGAGAGTTGAGAGGAAAGATGTTATGCAAATATAAATTATATGCATTTTTTCCCTCAGGTTTTTCACTGCACCAACATAGGCAGGATTGATCTTCACAGGAGATTCCCAGCCCTAGTTCTTGAGCTTCCAGCACAAGACAGAATGAGAACTCACCCTGGCTTTTTAAGTTGTGGTCCTCTGAAGCTGATAACCGAACACAAACCCCCACCCACTCTATCCATTAGTGCTTCAATCCCCCACTAGAGACTTCCAGTCAGTTCCTGAATGAATGGGAAGCAAGAAGTCATGGAAGACTTTGTTCACACTCTTAAACTAGATGTGCAATACCAATGTAAAATGTGACTAACACTAATCCCCTTCACGCCAACTTCAAACTAGAGTATGCTATACCAGTGCAGTCACTGCTTCCACCATGACAGCACACCTCCGCTGGGACTTTGCTCCAGTACCAATATTGGCATGTCTACCTGCAATCACAAGGTGTGAAGGTATCTTGTGTAAACATACCCAAGTTAGCTTTAATCTAGATAGTTTGGGCACTAATAGGAGTGAAACCACAGTAGCATGGCCTTCAATGAAGGTGGTACAAGATCACCTGGAACCATGGTAATTACTTGGCAGATAGGCTGTGCTGAAGCCCATGCTGCTGCAGCTTCATTGCTACTGGTACCTCAGATAGCTACATTAATCTCAGCCTCTGACTGCAATGTAGACATACCCTCAGCATAACCACAAATGTGAAAAAGGGGGTGGGAGATGAGACAGTCAATTATAATCAGAGTTATAAAATACAAAATCAAAGATTTTAAGTCCAGAAACAGCCATTACAATCATCTAGTCTGACCTCCGGATTCTTGCATCCAGCCCATAAATCCTGGTTGAGCTAGAGTATATATTTTAGAAATAATATATCTTGATTTAAAGAATTAATGTGATGAAGAATCCACTACATCCCTTGGTAAGATGTTCCAATCACTATTAAAAAATTTGATGGTTCTTTCCACTGGATCTTATTATGCCTTTGTCTGGTAGATAAAAGACATCTCTAGAATCAAACATCATCTTCTCATGCAGAGCCTTCTAGACCATGGTTAAGTCACATCTTAATCTTCTCTTTGATAAACTACATAGATTGAACTCCTTAAGTCTCTCTCACCATAAGGCAGGTTTCCACACCTTGAATCATTCTTGTAGCTCTTCTCTGAATCCTCTCCAATTTTTTCAACTTCTTCCTTTTAGAAGTGTAGACACCAGAACGGGGCAAAGTATTGCGAGACTGTGGCCCATAGGTGGTTCACTACTCTATAAATCAGCAAGTCTTATCAGGCCAGACATCTTCACTACACTTAACACACTGTTTTCATGTTATAGATCCCAAAAGTGCTATGTTGTATATATTTGGAAAACTCATAACTCATTGATAATTAATATTATTGTGTGGTGTACGTAGGGATAACATATGCAAAATTCCAAACATATGCTGAAATTATGTTCTTAAAATGTGTGCCAGGCAGGACATAATACCCCACCTGAGAAAAAGGAATGTGGTTCCACCTGCTTGAATATGTCTCTGATGCAAGAGGTACAAAGGTGGGTGAGGTAGTATCTTTTAATGGACCAACTTCCATTGACTCTTCCTCAGGTCTGGGGAAAATACTCAGAGTGTCACAGCTAAATACAAGGTTGAACAGATAGTTTAGCATAGGCAGTTAGCACATATTTTAAGGAACTATTCAAGATGAAGTAGCCCGTTAACATCCCTGTTGTCACAGAATTGAAAGTCATAGTACAAAAGTTTTTGTCCTAAGGCAAACAAGCTGGTGTGTCAGAGATTTGCCATGCAACTTAGCAATAGCAAAATGATCACTTGCTGAGGCTGAGTGGGGTACCACAGTAACTCACAATTCTGGGAACCACAGCAGATTGTCCCATTGGCAGATGGTTTGGGGGAAATTGATAAAGGGAAGGTGTTGGGGTCACTCTTCTAAAAGTAACTTGTCAGTGGAAGCCAGAGTGTGACCTGCATGCTTGTAGGCTGGCTGCTGGTGTCAGAGCTGTGAGCCACAGAAGCATAATGTTTAAGGCACCCAGAATTGCAGGGCAGGTGGTGATATAACCCCTTATTCATCTGAGTTGAACCCAAAGCATAACTAGTATTTTAGTAATGGTCTCAGTAATGCCACATTCAGAGATAATTTTATATCACTCTGTCTCTGAATATTACCCTATTTATACATCCAAGGATCACATTAGCCCCTTTAGCTACAATATCACTCTGGGAGCTCTACAGTGATCCCAATTCCAATATTCCTAACACAAATACTAGGAGTCAGTCTGGAGGAGGGAAATAAACCCTCTTCCGGGAAAAAGGGGTCCCTTCTCTGCTGAGCCAATACCCAGTAAAAGCTCTCTTCATGCAAAGGGCCTCAGCTCTTTGGGCTGCTAAGAACATAAGAACGGCCATACTAGGTCAGACCAAAGGTCCATCAAGTCCAGTATGCTGTCCTCTGACAGTGGCCAATGGCAGGTGCCCCAAAGGGAATGAACAGACAGGTTATCATCAAGTGATCCATGCCCTGTCTCCCAATTCCAGCTTCTGATAAACAGAGGTTAGGGACACCATTCCTGCCCATTCTGGCTAATAGCTATCTTCTATGAATCTATCTAGCTCCCTTTTGAACCCCGTTATAGTATTGGCCTTCACAACACCCTCTGGCAAGGAGTTCCAGAGGTTGCTAGAAATAAGGCATATATTTTAACAGTGAAAGTAATTAACTCATGGAACAATTTATCAAGTGGTGTGGTGCATTCTCCTTCACTGACAATTTTTAAATCAGGATACACTCTAGGAATTGTTTTTTGGGAAGTTCAGTGGTCTGTGTTATACAGGAGGTCAGACCACATGATCACAATTGTGACTTCTGGCCTTAAAATATATGAATCTATGCTTACTTTAAAAAAAGACATAGCTGATGTTACAGAAAACAAATCATGAACAAAATTAAAACAAAGTCTGAAATCCTCCCAAACTGGAGAGAGTGATGTCTATACTTAAGGCTTCTGCTTTATTTGCTTCTCTATATGTCTGCACCCTCATAACTGGGACCAGCTACTTGCCTCTTGAGAAGCCTGAGAGCCCTTAAAAGGTCAGATCTCTGTTCCTCAGACCACTTTCTCCTTCCTCACTCCAACAGGAACACAGCAGCAGTGGGCTCCAGCTCCAGCTGGCTCTGCAGGTGGCCAGCACCAGTGGAAATAGCAGGGGAGTACCTTTGGTCATTCAATCTTAACTTTTTGAAAATTGAAAGATATTTTCTAAAAGGTGAAAATGAGGCTGTGACTCTTCTCTAGCTCCTCCCTCAGAATAGGAATCATCACCAGGCAGAAGGCTGCCAAAAGGACTCAACTCTCTTTACAAGTATGGAGCCCTGTACCATTTCATCCCCTATCAAAGTTCAAATTGGGAGGAACTGTCCCAGGAAACAGAAAAGCAGAAATAAGAAGCCAGGTTCCAGACATCTAACACCTGCAAAGGACAACTGCGAAGGACCACTACCTACAAAGGGGCTGGAAGTAGACAGTACAAAGCATCCTAAACTAAAATTGATGCTTATCAATGCAAGATCTGCTGCTAACAGACAACAACATATGAGTTTATCAGTGATGAAGCATCCAATATAGTCTGTACACTGAGACCTGCCCAGATGACACTGCAGGTCCCATGCTAGCCCACCTCACCCCTCCAAGATACTCAGAACATCACAGACATATAAGACAAGAAAACAGACAGCACAGCGTTCAAATTTTCTTCCGGCATCAAATGCAGGTAAGGCAATTTCATTCAAATTCATTCATCTGACAGCAGAAACCACAGCCAAAACTAACAGACTTTATGCTTATTTACAGACCAACACAGATAAAACAATTCATACAGGAGCTTGTTAATACCTTGTCAACGATAGTGGTGAAATGCCCCAGTCTTATCATCCTGGAGATTTTAAAAAGCATATTGACAAGGCTGCAGATGCACAAGCCCCAAAACTCATCTCATCACTTGCCTCCTTAGCATTTTCACAGATCATCTCTGGTCCAAACTACACAGCTGGTCACAGCCTGGCCCTGATCTACAGCCTAGATATCAAAAGAGGACATCCTAACCCAGACAGTGTCTCGGACAGACTTTCAGTGTCCAGGCAACAAGAAAAACCAATGATCCTGATTCACCAGGAAGACTCTTGGACTTCAAGAAATTCCAAAGCCTGCTGCAGGACAACAGCACCCCATCCAAAAGATGAGGAGTCAAGGACCTGGTGAATCATTGCCATTATAAACTAGCATGCTAGCCTCCAAACAGACTCTTCTTCCCCATTGATCTTGATTTTCTGACACCCTGCAACTGATGGAGAGAGAGGGATGGAAACTCGAGCACGAATGGCAGGCAACAAAGGCTGATTCAGACTGGATGATAAAAAATAAATTTATAAAAGCCTATGCTGAAGCTATATTGTAGGCCAAGAGGACCTTCCTATGACCTTCCATTGAGGGTGCCAAATTGTGCCGCAAGAAGCTATTTCGGTGGTAAACTGTTTC